ATTTCAAACAATTAAATTACATTTTTTTGGCAGATATCACATCTAAAATGAAGTTAAATTACTGTGTTAAGACACAAATCTATAGACCTGATAGTTTTCCGTAAAGTGTACCACAAAAGTGCCCAGATTGTCGAATAGTGTCAGGACTCACTTCGCTCGCCCTAATAACAAGAGTCGCGGAAGAGTGCGTCCACGTGTTGCCGTGTCCCCGGCCGATGCGACAGACCATATTTCGGCCGTAGAAGGGAGAACGGTGCACCTCAATACCGACATTTTTTTCCCCCTTAACTCCTACTCGGTAGCAGAAGTCAGGGAGAGTGGGTCCTTCTCTACCACCCTCTACCTGTCCCCTGTACCTTCCAGCACGCCTCCAGAGTGGGCTCAATGAGCCCACTCGGAGCGGCCCTGTCGGGCCTGCCTTGCACCACAGGCCGGCTCAGTGTGGGTTCCACTTAGCTTCGCAGTGGGTGACCAAGCCACGGCTACTAAGCCCCTCCGCCACGGCAAGGCGGAAACTCGGTCGAAGGGGTTTAAATCGATATACTGTAATAGCCTGGTGAAGTTGAGCAATTAATTGTTCTTCGATAAATGTTAACTTTGTTAAAACATCAGATTGTAGTCCAGGATCAGAGCTTTCAATAGAAAATATAGTCAACTCATTTTTTATTTGGAATTTGTGACAGAGAGTGTAAAGTCCATTGTTATCAATATTTCAATCAAACCTACGACGATGATATAAATTGCACTGTTTTAATTCCATTTTTTTCTGGGCAGTTTCAAAATTATTACTTTACAACTATACTTCTTTTCTGATCTCTTCTTCGTTACTGATTCTATTTGTGTCATTCTAGTATTAATGTATGGACTCGCTTCGCTCGCCGTAATAATTCCTCACTCGTGGTCGCAGTCTGCTCATTATTTTGTATCTATGTAAATAATGTGATCGATGTGTGCCGTTTTGCGCGCATCACGGAAAAACTACTGGATTGATTTCAAATAACGAAACTGTTAACAAGTATTAACAGTTTCGTTATATTGTTCAAGTGATTGACAACAAACACACGTCAAATAAAACCTCGCAGTAGTTTCTGGTGCTGCACGTTTATGAACACTTGTCCGGGAAATATCACAGCCTCATGGAAGACCAGCTTAAAGAGGAAATTTTATTCTCCAGCTTTTAAAGTGGCGTGTGAAGTAACCTTCTCTGTTGGCAACAAATCTGTAGCATTCCAGTGTCCACGGGAGGTGGGCATCATTGTTCTTGGAGGAAAAGGCTTGTCCTCATTTCTCAGAACTTATTAAACTTTAAACGTTAAAAGGATGTGGGTTTTATATTCCACATATAACTTATAACTGGAAACTTGTAATTGGCCATCTATTTTATGCTGATTTATTTTTATCCTTTATATACTCGCCGTATGTTTACCTACAAGTGTAAAATAATATCATATATTTTGATGACTCCGTGGCGCAGTTGCCAAGGTATTGACTTCGGCGTCGGGGTTCGTGGGTTGGATTTCCACACGGGACAACTATTTGTGTGACCCATAGATAGTTATTTCGCATTCTGGGTGTTTGTCCGCGTGAAATTTATGTTTGTAAAACGTCCTTACAACACAGGATAATGTTATCCTAAAGTAATGGCAATGTTTTTTAAGAAAAAAAAAGAAGAAGAGAAGAAGAAATAAAATGTAGTAACAAGCATGACTGTAGGAAGTCCGAAAAGGGATGTTGCAGTAAAGGTATGTACCACTGCCTTCTAGACGAAAATCAAAAAACTGACATTGAAATTTATACTTTTTATTAGAAACTCCACTCTTAACAATAATTAATGATCGATTATAATAACTTAAAGACGACTTTGAATCCAGGATGCGAAGGAGGTGACTCTGGCGAATCCGACCGGCAGGCCAGCCTGGCAGCCGCGGCTCGGACCGAACGATGTGATGCCGATCTAGGAATAGTACAGTTTGTTTCACGATGATGCTACGCTATTCCAAACGGGCAAAATTTATTGAATCGTCGAATAGAGTGTGTATGGTATTCAGCTGCTTCTGCTGTACAACGAATAGGCCCGACTGGTGAAGTACCACTGCCTAATAAGGACCGGCGTGAAATGGAATGTTAACTTATACGTTTCCATGGGAGGCGGTAGTCAATTAACATACATCAGGGTCCTAATGTTAAATTATTATTGCCTGTTCCATTGACTTTTCAAATAAAGAAATGTTTAAAAATGTTTGATAAATGAGGTAAACAGTGTGAATGAAAAAATTGATGTTCACAGGATGTAACTGCACGGGGCAGATGTGTGGAGTTTATAGTGAGTTTGATAAAGGTAATAAGTAAAGTCTTGAATTCTTTTTATTGCCGGAATTCGTGTAGCATTCAACGTGAAGTGACAACTCTCGTCTGAAGGACAACATGAGGAGGCCGCTTAATGAAGCGAGTGGTCAACGTCGCACTTACAAGAACTCGTCGTCCGCCGCTGTTGATGGTCAGGGGTCCACCTGAGTCACCGCTGCATGTGCTGGCGCCCGATCCACTCGTGCAAAGAGTGGACGCAATCACCGTGGAGGTGCCGTACGTCCGTTGGCAGACCGCGTTGGTGATGACCTGCAGCGTCGCGTGGCTCAGCACCTGGCCGTTGCTGATGCCGGCGGCTGCCAAACATTTTAATTGAATTTAATCTTTTCAGTGTACTTATTCTTTTTCATGTTGTCTTAATCCCACATAGGTGGAGTCGGCACAACTAGTGAATTTTTAGTTATGTGTTTTTACCACCAGCCGTCTATGGTATACGAAAATTCTTGACTCGTGTGGGAATCAATCCCACGACCCCTGGCTCCGAAGCTAGTAGCTTGGCATCTGCCTCACCGAGTAGTCACTTTGTGTACCTCTGCATTATTCCGTCACTTATGGTATAAGCTAACTATTGATGACGGATTTAACCAAATAAGCAGACACTGCATGTAATCGGGAATTTATACAATTTACGCACGCACAGTTTAACGGTGCGTTTTAGTTTTTATGGGAATATTCTTCGCTTTAAATCTTAGTAATATGTGTGTCGTGTAAATAACTAAGTGGTGATGACACCAAAAACTTTAGTTAACAATGGACTATTCACCGTCACTCGTCTTGCCGAAGCCGGCGGCCTGCGCCATGGTGCCTGCGAAGTTGTTGCTCAGCTGCGAGCCCGAGGGCAGGGCGACGGGAGCGATGTTGTCTGTAACGGGTTTTTATTCACTTTTTAATGTCCTATCCACAAATGGTTTGAATGGACGATATAATGTCATGTATTGAAGTGTGTATTTCTTTGACGCGACAAAGTGAAAATTTGATCCCGCAAGCTGACACGACACATTTCTAAAAACAACGATATAGGTATTAATATCTTATGTACAACAAACACAGCTTCATGTATATTAAAAAATCCTAATTATATAGAACGCGAAATATGAATTGGGGTACAACACGATTTTATTAGTGCCGTAAATGCATAATTGGTACACCCAATGTACCAATTATGCATGTTTGCACCTTGCAAACCTTGCAAAGTTGATGTTTGTCCGACATTGATGATTTGTCTTAACTTATCCTATGAGTGAAATACGTAATATATTCTGAATTCCACATGAATAAGGTGTATATAATTATAAGACTTACTGTTGAACTCGACCCTGCCCATGGCGATGACCGCGACGTCGTTCTGCAGCGTGGTGGTGCTGTAGCTGCCGTGCACCTGGACGTTGCTGGTGACGATCCTGACGCCACCGGAGAAGAGGCGCGTGGAGCCCAGCACCACGGTGAACTGGCGTGCCTGGTTGCGCCCGTCGCGCCAGCAGTGCGCCGCCGTCACCGCCCGCGTGTTGGTCAGCAGCGAAGAGCCGCACACGGAGGTGCCGCCCGACGCCAGAGCGATCACCAACCCGCCCTGCACACCCAGCTACTTGTACACCTTACGCCATTATACCCTGCTAGGGACCTGGCCGAATACACTGCCTGCGTTACGCCGACACTTGGGACGTACTGTTTATACCCTTGCCATGATCAATCTGGCTGACTACGATACCTGCATTGTTTAACTGCCATATCGGAATTTGTCACCAGCTCTTCTCTGTGACGAGCCAGTTTCTGTTTTATCGCAAAAACCAACAATTGCATTTTCATTTACAGAAAACAAAAAACAACAACTTCAAATATCTCACTCACTAAAATGATAGTCAATATCAATTTTGATTTAGAGGAGTTCCTCTATGTATCTCCGGAATTCAATGCCCAATACTAATGAAATGAAATGTAAGACCACATGGGAGCCGAACCCAAAAAGAATTCCAAAGATTTTCACTTTCATTTAAAAATGTATGGTGTTCGCGGTGTTATAAAAAATATTGCACGCTTAAAGTGGTAAATTATTCATAATCATCTACCTGCATTTATTCACCAATTTGTGGTATTGGTTTCAAGGCAAACCGCGTTCGGGACAAACAGTCAGAATCAGAACAATTATTATCTTTGGGTTGCACAAATATTTAAATAAACTCATTTTATTCGTGGTATTGGTTTGTGTTGAAGGAGGCAAACCGCTCGTTCGGGACAAACAGTCGTCTCAATATATTTATTGTAATATTTTGAATCAATATTAACAAAAGAATTGATAAACTAAATCTTTGGGTTGCACAAATATTTAAATAAACTCATTTTATTCGATCTCTATCTATTTCGTTTGTGTTGAAGGAGGTAACAGCGTACATCATGCCAAACGCTTACCAAATGTGGATAGGCTCCGAGCGAGGCGGGAGATCCCCCAACAATCCTCACGCCGTCGAAGTCTACCGCTTGCTCAGCCTGCTTGATTCTCTCTGCAAGAGCGATGCCGACATTCTCATGGTAGTGCAGAAGGATCGACTCCTCGGCTAGAGCGACCGCCGTCAAACAGAGCAGAGCTAGTGAAACCTTCATGGTGGCTGGAAGACTGTGTTGAGCCAGTGCGTTTCCTTAGAATTTATTCGACTAACATATCTAATCATCGCCTGCACTAGGATCTTACAAAATAGTTAAATCAAAAGATTAACAGACAAGTTACGAAATTTTTGAATTATCATATCGGATAAGTATTAATTTAGACCTTCAATTTTAATGAAAGGTCAAAGATAAGGATGAAAAGAATAAACTTATAAATACACACTAGAAGTAAGGAGGGTGGGATGAACGGATAGTGAATAGCAGTACCTTATCTGTAACCTCTCTCAACCAGGATGACTGGCGTGGACTTTTATGTATATAAGTTCAGAATTTAATTATAGAATTTTAAGCTGCTAAATCAAATAATAATGTAGTGATTGGCAATCTGTTCCCCTTCTAGCTGAATATTTAATTTTTTTGAAGTCTACGAATAAACTCTTTTCGAATAAGAATGAACAACACGTGTGTCTAATACGGTTATTGCTCCTTCTGCATTATTAGTAAAAATATTGAGAGAAAATTAGGCTAAAGTGAAAATGATTCTCCTGAATAAAGGTCGTTCAGATTTAATGAAATAGGAAATAACGTCACCATTGAACTATAAGAGCTAACTTAACCTTATTAAAATTTAGTCAGTTATTTCTTATGTAATGTAACATTCTATTTTTTTCTTCTTATAGAGATATTATGATTTAAATATTTCGTATTTTTGGCGTCTCCCTTACTTGGCAATAATCTCTGTGTCACAAAGTTTAAAATTAACTATTTGCATAACTAACTGGCCGCGCAAAAGTTTTTGCCCAAATGACCATTGAACACTTGTTGCAATCAAGTTTCTTAATAATAGTGATTTGAATGATCGGGTGTTAAAATAAATTCTCTTTTTTTATGTGATAAGGTAGCAAATAAGCTGGCTTTGCACCTGATGTTAAGTGATAACCACCGCCCTCCGACATTTGCAATTCCTATAGGGTTGCAGACCTTTGTTAAATCCTGCGGCGGAATTGAATTTTGAGTCTTTGTGTTTCAGTTTATTTGTTTATTCACCACAGCGTCTATAAAGATTCTAATGGTTTTTTAATGGCAATAACCCTGGATTAATATCTTTACCGTAAATACTACTCAATTTCGAAATTAATCACGTGATTGAAGTAGTAAAAACCGATTAGAGATAAAAATACTACTGCACACGTGCCTATAAATCTATATTTTACGAAAACGTTTCATGCGTTATCTTCATTTAATCGATATTCATTACGATAACAACTTAATAGATTTGTTCACTGGGTCATTGTCAACAGCGATTTATTATTCGGTTTATCGCTTCGTGATATGAGTAAGGTAAAGGGGTGGAATATAACGATGATGACATTGTTGAAAATGATTAACCGCTTTCAATCAATCTTCAACACCATTTGTACCGGCGGGTCGCTTTTTACAGATTGGCCCTTTGGTTGTCCAAATTACTGCAAGAAGCACAAAATGATCATGCACTTCTAGGCTCCAAGAGTTTCCGCGTGGTCGTCCACTGTTCCTGGTAGAGTTGTCGCTTTCATGTCGCACTGATGCTGTCATTATAAGTATACGCACACTATAATCATAAGAAATGAACATTACACCGAAGCTAACAACGAATTAGTAATTGAAGGAAATATTTTTGTAATCGTCGGTTCTTCATCTTCAAAATGGTTCAATGTTTGTTTTTGAACAAAGAGCGAAATATATTGGTTCTGGTTTAATTTGCTCATCGCTTTTAAATAAATTAAATAGAAAAATAATAATTTCAGTATAGACGTCTTGGAAATTGAATTTGTTGCAAACAGTCTGAAAAAAGTCACAAATAAATAATAGACCAGTTTTTTTTTTTTTTTTGAATTTTTTTTTTAATTTCACAAATCTTAACTACCATCAAATGACACCTAATACATGTTTTATTAACTGTTCTTGTTAAAACACCTTGAATAGGTACTGAACAATGCTTTAAAATTGTGATAAAAAACGACACGGCATATATACATACCTATAGACGTATATAAATATAAGCTTAGGATTTTGGCGCTAGTGTTAATAGTTTTGCTTTTATTACTAGAAATTATTGATGTAAAATGTGTTTGTGATTTATGTTCTCTTAAGGAAGTTAAATCGTGAGTTACGTTTTATAATTATATTTGCATATAGTTGTTATATACGATGTAATGGCATGTTTCCTCCAGCAAAATCTTAACATAATCGCTAATTTTCGCCTTTTTGTTACTTCCATAGTGACCTTTCTCTATCGATTACAATAATTTGTTAATGTGTATAACTTGATTGACGTAAACACTTACCTTCACAATACCTCATGGCGATATTATATTAATCTAAGTAGGCAGATTCGCTGATTAGTTATTTATTAAATGCTTACCTGACAGTATTTTGGATTCTAATGACTGTAATATATTCGGAATAATTATGTGTACAATGCCATTATACTATATTTGTTTTAATCCAAGCCTGATGTATTCCTGCGTAACGTGGGGTGTGTATCGCTAGGCGTTCGGCGGGGCTCCACCCTTATGCTGTCGACGTTCCACGTACAAGAACGAAGCGATTCGGTTCTTCATTTTTCATCCGTACAGCTAAGGAATGGAATAACCTGCCGGCGTCCGTCTTTCCGTCCGATTACAATGTAGGCGTCTTCAAGGCAAGAGTGAATAGGTTACTACTGAGCTAGCGCGCTTACCATCAACAGCTGCATCGCCACTTACCATCAGGTGGGATGGCAGTCAAGTGCTGGCCTGTTATGAATTAAAAAAAAAACATTCGTATCCTGAATCGGTTGCACATTAAATGCCTTCGTGCTATCATGATTATCAGATGGTCTCATGTATTCATGTGCCCTCCCTATGTAAGAGTCTTTGCCGTCGAGATTGGATATATTATAAGCCATTTTCAGGTGCACCAGCGTCAAATCTGTGTCCATGGCCGAAACTGGTCTGAATCACCATATTTTTTTTAATGTGATCATTGTAAATAAAGCATTAAACGGTGGTAGGGCCACGCAGTAGTCTCGGCTGTTGCACGAATGGGCAGGCTCGTCCGGTTAAGTACCACGACCTCACAGAAGACCGGCGTAAAGTGGAGGTATATTTCTTTCGCGTTTCGTCTCGTGAGGGAGGTGGCCGGAGCCCAATTTTAAATAGGTTGTCAAAGCATCTGGAACCCTCAGGTGTAACAGATGTCCGTGGGGGGCGGTATTCACTTAACATCAGGTGAACCGTCTGCTCGTTTGGCAAATTTTCACATTAAAAAAAACAGCATGGCGAAAAGTGTAAAATAAAAAAAAGTTGCCATAATATATCATTTTATTTATTTTCACACAGCGATTAATTGCTATGGGCAAAATCAAAGAAATAATATCGTAACTTCATAGATTTGAAAATAAGACATCTATAGTTTATCAATCCATCGGCAATACAGGTTTATCTATTGAAAAGAAAAGATAAATTGTACGTCTTGTGAGTGTGAAAAGGATGTACCCCGTGCACATTATGGTTGCATGATTCATTTTCTGTATGTATCTCATGAGAGCTACGAATAGGCATCATGAGGGAGTTCTCAATGGCGTCTTCGCTGCTCTGGTTTTCTTTGGTATTGAAAGCAAACTCGCTCTGGGAACCATATGAGTTTTTTAGGTGACTAATGAGCATATTTTCGTAAGCATTTTCTTTGCTGGGTTCCTCTTCTGCTTCTATGACGATCTGATCCTGGAAATTATGTGGATATTTTTTGTCATCATCAACTGTTTTTTCATCATTATCTATCGCATCTTTGATTGTTTCGTTATCGACTTCTATAACTATTTGGTCCTGGCTTTCGTATAAGTTTTCATTTTTATGATTTTTACTTTGTTCTTCATTTGATTCTACAACAATATGGTCTCTATTTAATTTGATTAGCGGGTGCTCAACAGTTTCCGTACTACCTTTAATGATTTCCAATCTAAAGGATGTGTTTTCAGGAATAGGATTGAAAATTTCCTTATCTGTCTCTTTTATAACCTGGTTATGCAGATTCTCTTCTCTATTTAATTTATTTTCTTCAGTAGAAGCATTAGGCTCTTCTGACAACATTTTTATTACAACGTTCTCCACTTCGTAGTCTTGGCTCTGACTTTTAACCTCATTAGCCGAATCTCTAACGTTAAGCCCGTAATCTTTCGAAATTTCTTCGATCTCTAATAAATTAGCCTTGTCACTAGAACTGCCTTCAGTTGTATAATGGTTAGATATGAAAGTTTCTTCGTTTCGTACGTTCTTGGCATCTCTTTCGTTATTTTCAAAATAACTTGTATCTTCGTCTACGACTGAAAGTAAGTCATCCGGTTGTGTGTACATTTCTGTTGGCGTTACACTTGACTCAGAGTTTAATATTTCACTATCATTCCAATAAACACTATAAGGATTCTGATTACCGGTTTCGGTTTCCGAACTTATAGTTACCACTGTGGATGTATCGATATCTATTATTTCCTCAGAACTAAGATTTTCACTGTTGGATGTTATGGGGTCATATTTAGTCTTTAAAGGGGAATCAGAAGGCGCACCTACGTCTTCTGAACCGGAAAGTAATTTATTTTCATCTTCTTTTTTTATAACGACTGTTTTCTTTACGACTTTATCACGGGCTTGTTTGAATTTAAGATCTGGTAAGTTTGTTAGAATAATGGCAAGAGGTGCAATTGTTTTCTTACGCTCACTTAGTCCATTGTAAGGATTCCTTCGCCATTGTTGTTTCATTTGATTATGTTGTAGGTACGGTTCTATTGTTAATTTTGCTAAGTTTTTTTGCAACTGCTGTTTTTCAATGGGCCCTGGTTGTAGAAATGGCTGCAGTAGCTCTGCGATGTCTTCGTTCTTAAATTCGTAGGACTCGTAATCTTCTGTCGATTTTGCCTGGTGATCATCTAGAGTTCTTATGATTGACTGACATGAATAAGAGTCTATGTGTTGCAGAATTATGACACTCAGCGCTGGAAAAATCAAATTACATATTTTTTAATATAAAACAACTAGCTGACTCGACAAACCTTGTTTTGACATATAAATTATTTGTAGGATAGAAAAAAATGTTTGGGGTGGACCACCCTTAACATTTGGGGGGATGAAAAATAGATGTTGTCCGATTCCCCACCCTGGCGGCTATGCACACAAAATTTCACGAAAATCGGTCGAGCTGTTTCAAAGGAGTTCAATTACAAACACCGTGACACGAGAATTTTATATGTTAGATTTTCGTTATGTAATGTAACCATTACCGAACCATGTTGTTGACAGGAAAATTTGGCTTAAGCCTTAAAGGGTTAGTTAGAAAATAAATGTGTAGTTAATTTGTTTTTGTTTAGGTGAGAAAATGGCAAACGAGCTGGCGGTTGACCTGATGTTAAGTGACAACCTCTTCCGATGGACATTCGCAACACTCGTGACGTCGCGTCTTTTAATAAAGTGGGCCCGTTTACTTAATGTTTTAGCATTCAATTGTAATTGTCGGGTTTGTTTTATTTATTAATTTTTAATTCATAGCAAAAATTATTATAGTAGATTGGACGACAAGAACTAACGAAAAAGAAAAGTAGGGAGTAATTTAGGATAGTGACGTTACATAAAGGGACGAAACTCACCAAGAATGAGATGCATCGCGGCGCAAGTGTGCGTGGCGAGGCCGGAGCTAGGCTTATAACGCGGTCGCGTCTGTTTCACGCCGACTCAACGACGGCTAATTAACTGTTGATTAAACTGCGTTAATAGCGCCATTAATTTAACCGGAGCGGAGTGCGCAGTTGCAGCTAGGTTTTAATTTAACGGAGAGTATCGGGAATAATTGTAGTCAGCTTTTTCTTTACGATGTAGTTAACGCTAGTTCCCGCTCATTACAGTAATTATTAATGGTAAGCAAAGACCACTGCAGTAAATAATCAAATTGAATAGACTTAACTTTTAAAACTTCTAATAACTTATATTTAAAATTTATATAAAATCAACGAAAAGCTTTTCGCCGCTGCTGGACTCGAACCCATGTCCAACAGAATCGTGCCCAGATTGTTTAATCGCAAAGCTAAACGGCATGGCTATCTGCATCGACGAAATTCTCAACATAATTATATCACCTACTTTGTTTACATTCCATAATTGAGTTCGAATTCACAATAAACCTTTTTCATCGAAGTTAATTAAAAAAAAAACGTCATCTAGCTGGCTTCGAAGACTCCCATAATTAATGGACTGAGAGGCAGACGCGGAATAATTTTCTAACATTTAAGAAAGTTTCGTGACAGTTCTTAAAAAGTAACACTGTAATTTTAGCATACAGAATAAATGACTTAGTAATATTTAATTGAGGCAGCACTGATTTATAATATTTCATTTGGGTAATGGTGGCAACAATTTAAAAGTATGTTCGGTTGTCGTTTTCAACCATTCGTTTTGAGTGACATGCGTAGCACGTCGTCTAGTTAGAGTTACTTCGACCTTAGAAATGAGTGAATTAATTAGTATACAATAACAAGTTTATGACACTTACCTATAATTCCAAGCTATTTAATTAAACCCTCATCATTTGACCAACAAAGAGTACTAGCAAACGGGATAAAAAAATAAAAATCAGTACATACTTGCAAATGTTATGTATGTCCATAAAAAAAAGAATGACTTTTCAAGATTTAGTAATGTGAATGATGACTAGAAACAAGCATAAATTAATTCAACCCTACTTGATTGATTGACTTACTAGATTGCGTAGCATAAGTATATCTTTTATGGGACAATGTATACGCTTTTACAACAAAATCCCAGAAAACGTTGAAAATGAATCTGTTGCTTATTTAAAAAAAAAACTTGTAAAGCAACGTTTGTGTGTTAATGGCTATTATAGTTTTAGTGATTATCTGAATGATAACACACTCTGGAAATTAATTGATCGCTCCAGGTGCTATCAATTGGCATTTAATAAATTTGGCATTTAATAACCTGTTTGTCATTTTTTGTCAAGTTAAAAAAATGTCCCGCTGAGTTTCTTTCGCCGGTTCTTCTCAGGCCAGTGGCTTTCCTTCCGAACCGGTGGTAGAGTTTTTTGACGATCAATAAGTGAGTGTAATGCTTCTATTTTGAATAAAGATATTTGACTTTGGCTTTGAATACAATCTATTCGAGCAACCAGACTTCGAACCCCCGAGCTGGTAGCAATGAAATTGTTCGCTGAAATTTCATTGTTCCACATCCTCAGTGGTGAAGGATAACATCGTGAGAGAACCTTCCAATCAGCAGTGGTTTTGCGTGTTAGATTACGTCGTAATACCCTTTGTACAAAAGAGGCCTTTGCCCAGCAGTGAGACGTATATAGGTCGTTACTTTAACTTTTATATTGAAGCAATAGCTGCTGCCCGCGACTACGTCTGCATAGAATAGGCTGAAGGCGTAACATTCAGACAGAAAGACAGATATACATAAAATATGCATATAATTATAGCCTATGTTTTATTCTGATGTATAAGCTATATTACTGTAAATTTTCATTAAAGTCAATTCAGTAGTATTTGCGTGAAAGAGTAACAAACATCCATCCATACATACAAACTTTCGCGTATATAATATTAGTAAGGATTGATGTTTTAAGAGGCACTTGTTTGAAATTATTAATACTCCTAGGATAATTAAAAATGACCGCGATGATCCGTAAACAAGTTTGATTAAAATAGCATAGGTTCTAAGTTGATTCAAAATCCGATACCTATAATATAAATGTTTCAAGCGATTCCTACAACCATGTAAGCGAGCCCGTCACTCGTCACTTGTCAAAAGCAACACAAAGGGTTACTGTGTGGTCAGTGGTACACAATGGAATCGGTACTGCTTTGTATTGAGAGCTGATCTCAAACGATCGCTATTATAAATGTGACCATATTTTTTTATAGATTTAATTGCGTTATGTTAAACATCAATGTTCATGGTATGGGACGCAATAAAGTTTAACCTAAACATTTAATTTTAAAATTAATTAATCTAAAAATAATTATTGAAACAAACTAAATTAATTTAATTCAACCGAAGTAATTTCATTTAAAAATCTTATTTCATTCCATTTTTTCTAAGCTTAGCTTCATATGTTACTTTTACCAACTCAAACCTCAAATATTGAAAGCCTCATGTGTTCTAGATTGCATTTACATACATACATACAACTTCGAAATCTTCCGTGCATGTCTTCAATTTCTAAAGTTTTTAAAGCTAGGCACCGGAATACGAACTTCGGTTGTAAAGTATATCGAAAAAAATCTTAGAGATATATTGTAATTAAATAATTCAGTATATTTTTTCTCGAATTATAATTACAAAACAACAGATAATTTACCTGGTGTTCAGCTTATTTTCGTCCACTGGCCTTGGGTTGACATAGGGCTCCCCGCAGGCTGCCATAAACACGACCCTGAACTACCTGGATCCATTGACGTCCCGCACATTTGCAAAGGTCGTCACTCCATTTAGTGTGGGTCGAGACTGCCACTCGAGAACCTTTCTTCTCCGTCGGTTATCGGCTCTACGAGCTATATGCCCAGCAACCCATTGCTTACATTTTTTTATGGAGAAATCTCACCCGATGGTGAGTGATTACCGCCGCCCATGAACACCTGCAACACCCGAGGGCTCACAAATGCGTTGGCGGCCTTTAATAGCCTTTGCATAGCTAGCAATTCTCAATATTTCTCCGCGTGATAGAGTTGCAATGGAGATATCCACAGTAGAACAAAAGTAATCGTTGATCAATCTATGTTTCATCGCAATTGGACATATAATGTATATTTTTTTGCAAAGTAGGTGATTATCTAATAATTTTTCATGTACACGCTGCTTAAAGTATGCGTGCAATTAAAAAGTTTGCATAACGCCCCTCTGTAAGGGTTGGAATGCGTTAATTAATTTTTAATGGCGATCCCACGCATCCTCTGTGTTTTACCACAAACGTGTCGTATATCCCTTTATAGGAATACATCTGTAAGGTGTTGAGATATTAAAACAAATTTCTCTATACATATATGTAACTGTAATCTACAAAGATGGTGCTTAATTAGGCTGCGTGGGCTTAAACGATCGATATTAATAACATTGTTCATTCTAAAGTTAACGTAATACAATGTGATTGAATTGCAATAATATTACATCATCCGAGCACCGCTCAAACAAACAGCTGATTGCAGTCCACCGCAGATTCGGAGGTAAATAAGCGCGCCTGTGGAATTGAATTGGACTCCCGACCGAATAAAGAACAGCTTAGCCGGGTTGAAACGTTGCCAGGATTTCCTATTGCACGGTTTACGTAAGTGGTCTTCCGAGCGGAGCCATGCAAATCTGTAATAGCATAGCAATGTAGTCGGTAAGGAGGTTAAGCAAGCTTGCGCCGTACAGCGGAGTCGGCCGATTGATAGAATTTGAAATTTAAAGCAAATATGTCGAGATGAAAACTTTCTATGAATATTTTTGCAGGCGCTTCTCTATAGCAAGTTGTTTTATCGATGCGTATTTTTTTAAGTAACGGGGCATTGTTGTATGATAACATTTAATTCTTAATTATATTTTTGAATTTATTAAAATTATTGTAATTACTATTTAATTAACAAAATCCAGTGCTATTCGCACTTTTATTGGTGACGAAATATAAAGAAATGCTCAAAGCCTCGTAATGTCCAAACTTGTGGGCAGTTTTATATAGAGAAAATTTTATCAAAAATTCTTTAAAATGACGACAAAATAAGTTAAGATAAAAATTATAATGTGTAGTGTGTTATTTATCACACACATATTTTTTTTTATGTGAAAAGTTGCCAAGCGACCACCTGCGTTCACCTGATGTTAAGTGAATACCGCCACCCGTGGACATCTGCTACATCCGAGGGTTGCAGATCCGTTGACAAACTTTTGAAAATTGGACTCCGGGTACTTCTCTCACCAGACGAAACGCGAAAGTATTTTTTATACTTCCACTTTACGCCGATCTTCTGTGAGGTCGTGGTACTTACCCAGGAGCCTGCCCTATCGTGCAACACCCGAGGCTGCTGCTTGGCCCTCCCACAGTTAAACCATAAAACAATAACGGTAATACCTTTATTCAAAAATGTTATCCTCTGATGCTGTAGGTAATGTCTTTTTTCAATTTTAATACCGTTTATTGTGCAAATAATATTTTCACATACAAGCGCAATAGCATAGGTATTTCTTCGCTGAATAGTTATATGCAGAATACTTATTACCTTGAAAAAATAAACCCTTGATTTTTTTTTTCCGAAAACTGGCTATTGCTTTAATATGATTCTCGTCCGATTTGTTTGTATAAAAATTAAGAACTTAGGTTATGTTATTATAACAATAATCTGATACGATTTAGTAAATGTCCTTCGCGTGTCAGTTATTTAGATTGATTAATGGAATAGAACTCATTTCTTAAACTGTGGCAGGGGCACGTAAATTCCACAGTCTTTGCACGAATGGGCAGGTCCGTCTGGGTAAGTAGTACCACGACCTCACATAAGACTGGCGTGAAGTTGAAGTGTCATACTTCTGTGTCTCGTCTGGTGGCTACGCATCTGCAACCCTACGCACGTTGCGAATTTCAATGGGCGGCGGTTATCACTTAACTTGATGTGATCCGTCAGCTCGTTTGCCACCTGCTCATACAAATAAATCTTCGTAAATAAGTATTTAAAGTATGGACAGTCTTCAGACCAATAAATTTTTGATCAGTGCTAGGGGAAACTGTAAAATGAATATTTAAAAAAAACGCAAAAACTTGAATCCGTCAAATAAAATGACACAGCCACTCTATATTGAGGTTCGTTGATTAGAAATCTGTTATGAAGCTCTTGTATTCGTTGATTTCCATAAATAATACGAAACCAATGAAAAAAATAACAGACTTTAGCATCAACGGCCTTTGTTTCAATTTTAATGCAGCTGTTTCATAGAAAAAATTATTCTTTATTATCGTGGAAACAAAAAAAAATGTTTACTCTAAATGAGAGATTCCACGGGATTTTCAAAGTATATAGCTGATTTATAACGTCTGCTAATTGTTTTTAATATGTCTTAGTATTATATACAACAACACTTCTCCATAGCAAAAATAAAACTCAATAATCGTATGTTGTCTCTTAAGACTTTGGTAACTTTACATTAAATGAAGATTACTTTACTTTATTACTTTATTTTTCATTTTTTTAATTATATATTTAACTGAAGATTACTAAATGAAGATTACTTTTACTTATGGGCCAAGTGTCAATAAAACAATTAAGAATCATGTGAAATCGATCCAGTTTCACCACTATTGGCGTACAACGATAAACCTCGATCATTTTGTATATAGATGGAAATAAAGAAAAGTAGTATGGCTGCCGTAGAAATTGATGACGAAGATTGAGTCAATTTTACCCTCGTATCTCAATATGGAAGATTTAATTTTTAAAATTTTGGGAGTTATGTCATGTACAACATTTCAGTCTCATTATACCCTATCCACCCTTTTCTTTCTTCTGCCCTTATCCCACCTGGGAGGGTCGACACGACATGTGCATCATGTTTTGAATGCTATCGGCTAGGTTTTGAAAATCATACACCCAGATCCGAAAAAATTATCTGTCTCTCAAATATCGAACCCATAATCCCCAGTACTGAAACGAATACCTTAGCAACTGCGCCATTTGCACCTTATACGTACGTAATGAAAACTTAAATGCATGTCCATCTATTTAGGGCCGCTTAGAAATACTTTATGTATGCATACATTTGGTGGAATTGATCGATACTTAGATAAGTCAAAGTACTAGTTAGGAAATAGACATTAGTAAGAAGCACGAAATTAATTAAAGTAAGCCAAAGTTAACTAGAAGTTTACGTGATAAAAACTTATAAATATTACGGTAACAAAGGTTAAATTGTAAACCAGACTTCTGACTCAACAATTACACAATGGATTTGAATAGAAAAAAGATAACCAAACGAGTCAAACAGATTTAGCCAAAAGTGTCCATAACATCATTTATTTACACGTTCATGCAAAAGTTTGGATTGTCAGTCATAGTAAATCTGACACAAAAATTGTTATTTTCAATAAATTCGCTAAATGTAATAGGTACTGAGACTCCAACTCATGGTTTTATATCGCAAGTTCCACCTCCAGGCCCTAAGCCATCGTGTCGCTTGATGCTGTTGTAAACTATTTCCACGGCGAAACAACAGCTAGCGCCCTTTGTGCTGTCAGAGCAACTTGCACCCTCGTCAGCCACTCTGAATCGAGTTTGAAACATTGTTTAGCAGAGAACTGCGAATATTTTGCTTTAGCACCGTATATATTGATTTACGAGGAAAATGCTGCTGAATAGTTCTTCTACGACAGAGATTTATTCGTAAACAAGTTGCGTCATTCTTTGCAGTATTACGTAAAATGTATACATGAACAGAATTGCGCCATATTACATACTACTGACCCGTACCGGCTTCGCACGGGGCAATGTATTATACACATAAACCATCCATTTGAATCACTCTATCTAGTAAAATAACAACCGCACCATGATCCTTTGCGTAGTTTCAAAGATTTAAGCATACATAGGGACAGACAGACAGCGGGACGACTATGTTATGATTAAACATATGCTCTTAAAATGTTTTTTTTTTAAACATTGCCCTTACTTTGGGATAACATTATCCTGTGTTGTAAGGACGTTTTACAAACATAAATTTCACGTGGACAAACACCCAGATGCGAAACAACTATCTGTGGGTCACACAAATAGTTGTCCCGTGTGGGAATCGAACCCACGACCCCCGACGCCGAAGCCAATACATTGGCATCTGCGCCACGGAGTCATCATAATGTGGCCATACATTTTTTGTTTCTTTCTTTTTAAATATAGCCCTAATAGGCCCAGGTGGTGAGTTCTTTCTGACCAGATCTGGTTCTCACAACTCTGTATGTCTATGAGTAGTTAAGATAGTTGTATGACTATGTATTGACATAAGGCCTACACAAGATTCGCTAGATAGGTAAATAATATCACATTAGAGTCGGGGCCTGTGCAGCCGCTGCAACACACATCCCTCGGGATTTATAGCGGCAATCATTCTGCAGCGGCTGGCTGCCTCGCACAGAAAGAATTTACTGCGCGGCTTCGAACGTCAAGATAACAATGGCTTCACAAATTTATACCCGACGGCCGTAGCGTTGGGAATATGTACTTTTTAAATTTATTCCCCAACAATATGGTACCATCTTATAAGTTCTTCATTCCTCTTAATTCACGGCTTAGGTATCACATTTCACTGCATAGAACTTTGAATTAGACTTTCATTTTGGACCCAAAACATGTCATTTTTCTATACCTAGTGGGCAAAGCATACTGACGACGGTTCGCTGCAAGTCATTTTACGGCATCTGAAAATCATGTGCTGGATTAGAAATCTAGACATAAATGTAGTACCAAACATAAATATAAACATCACCGACGCCCATGAACATCTGCATCAACTGAGGGCTTTCTAAACGTGTCACTTTGTGTAGGTATTGTTAAAAAACTATATTTTTCTTTATAAAGTTAATCTGGTTTCTGAGACAGATCAAGTTTGTAATGATTGGTCAGTAACGCAAGAATACTAAATTGTAATTTCAGATGTTGATCAGACCTCAGGTTAG